ATTTGTGTTCTTTGCGCAAAAAAAAACAGTTCATCAAGGAGTTTATGTTCCTACGATCGTTTCAAGAAGTTCATATTAATATGATTATGTTTATTTTCAAAAGTCACAATAAACAATGTTACATAAGTATATGTGTTTCCTCGCCTGATCCCTTTTCATCTCCACTACATACCTATGCCCACCCTCGTTTTAAATTTTCCTTTGTTAAAAGTTTCCTCGTTTTAGAGATAAAAGTCAATAACCTTGTCACTGGCTGAAATATTAACCGCGAAAAGCCAAAAAGAAAATTCAAATCATTCGATATCTTTTTAATTTGACTATCAGTCATCTGCAAATATATTTTCGTGTAAAACCGGCCAGTTTCAAGGCAATCAAAACACCGTGGAGTTTTTATGTCTTCGTTAACATTGACACTGAACTCAATTATGTATTTTAAACATTATACTGACAGCTATATATTTATCTTAGTTCAAAGTTTGCGATGACGACCTACATAAGAAAAATTAAGATAACCCACAACATAAAATTAAATATCATATTTTTTAGATGAATTTTGTGTTTATAAGTAGACATGTCTATGACATTAACGATCAATTATGTCCTAGGATGTTTTCACACGAGGTGCATAAAGACAGCATCACAACTGCTTTTTGCATGCAGGCTCACATCGTCGATGTTTTGTAGAAAGGGCGAAAAAATTTCAAGGGAGCATGTTTTAGTTCTTGACAACTGTTTTAAAACATTTACGTCCTGTTTTAAATTCAATTTCAAAAATTAAACTTAATTAAAACCAAAATTGAATTTTAAAACAGGTCGTAAATATTTTAAAACACACTAAAACCTAAAACATGCACCCCTGAAAATTGTAACAAAAAAGTAAAAGTACAAAAACCAACATGCTGTACTTCGTAATCAATAAGTAGTTCAGCAATAAAAATTAACAGCGTTAATAATTACCTAAAGTTCAGTCATAAAAATTAAGAGCGTTATTAATTACCTAAGAATTCATTGTATTTATTAGGGTTTCGTAGTTTTCTTTGTCAATCATACAAGAAACCTTTTAAATTGCATTGCCACACTTACGACTTATAGGCGATTGCATCGATGTAATCGCGCGTTTGTATCGATGCAGTCGCGCGCTTGCATCGCGTTTGCATCGCTACTAAAGTCGACGTGTATAACCGCTCAAACTAACTGTAAACTTTCAAAATGGCCACCGTGAAGGTATAACGATTTCCCGCGAAAAAATGTCAAACAAACTGCTGAAGAAAACTTACAATCTATCTGTACAATAATATCTGGCAGTATGGCCAATCACATGCCTTAGCCTGTTCTAAAAAATTTTACTACCACCAAACAAATTTGAAAGATATTTTCGATTTCCGATTTTCTTTCTTTAATTATATTACTATTCTCGATCGGTATTGTCTATAGGCGATACGGTTACAACTTTCCCCTAAATCGACCGTCTCTCTGTTCTCTTGTTCAATTAAAATTAAAAGCAAAAATATAAAGATCAAGATTACAATGGGCACTGAAAAGTGCTGTCGGGAGTACGCTGACCTTTATGTACACTCGGTGAATTTATAAATCACAATAACCGCGTACTAAAAATTAGAATCTTTATGTAGAATAAAGTCATAAATTTCGGTTTGTTTTTTCATTAAAGCAGGTAGATTGCCTTTAGTAAATATAAGTGTAGCACCAGCAGTATCATCATCTTCAACTCATTTGTAGGTCCCACTGATGGGCACGGATCTCCTCTCAAGCGAGGGTTTTAGGTCATAGACCGCCACGCTGCTGCTGGTACAATGGCGGTTGCGAACCTTCACGGTGTTTTACTTCACCGAAAAGCTTGTGGTAAATTTCAAATTTAATTTTCCACATAAATTTTTAAGACTCAGAAGCGAGCGCCCTGATTTGTATCCACGGCCTCTGCTTGAAAGGCGGTAGGTCAAATCATTATGCTACCACGGCATATTTTTAACCAGCAGTATAATAATGGAAATGTAAAATACAAATGAGTTTATTTTTTGCATTGTTTAAAAATGAAACGGCCTATTTACGAAGATCGTTAAACGACGTGTTTACGAAGTCAGTCTACTGTGCAGTCGGGAAAATGCGAGTTTCGTTTTGAAATATTGTTGCGCTTTATTACTTGTTTTACAAGTTTATAATTATTGCCATTATTTTGTTTGTTTGAATAAAACCAAGTGTACTCAGAGCATTTAATTTTCAATTCTGTAACATTTACACGTTTTTATTTTCATCATAAATCCTTATGCAGGGTTATTTGTAAAATGCTATTAACCTCGCAGTATTATATTACTAACATCATAAACAACAACTTTTGTTCCATAACTTTAATAATCCAACAGATTTTAAGTACTTTTTACGAAAATAAAAAATAAAGTAGATCCTCTAACCGGCTGTGTGCAGGCACTAGGGATTGACGTTACGATTCGATTTTAATGATTCATTTTAATGCGACTTTTAAGTAAATCGATTTAATATTAAGGCGAATCGAGTCGAGATCCAGATCCAGATCTTATCCATAATTTAAACAAAACATTCACTTTCTGATGAACCTCTATTTTATACTGGCCTGCAAGAAAAGCAGTTTGGCAATATCTACGTTTCTTTTTTATATATAATATTAAATGATGGGACGAGCAAGTCGTGCACCTGATGGTAAGCTACACGCCTGTCTATAACAGTTGCAGTGCCACACAGAGCTTTAAATCACAAAGATCTGAGGGGCACTGCCACTGCGCCCGTCACTCTGATACATAAGTTGACAAGTCCCATGTGCCTGTAATTTCACCATCACCCTTACCCTTCAAAACCGGAATACAGTAATGATGACATTACTGCTTGGCGGCAGAAATAAAATAAATGTCGCTACTTCTACGCCATCTGAACATTTTTTCTCACTGGATAGTATCACTATACATGACCGTAACCAAGTGAAGCCGAAAAGGCTGTCAAAGTTCTTTTTTTTTATCGAAATTAATTTTAAAACGATTTTAATGAGCTCAATTCAAGAGCATACGATCCGATCTGTGGATTGATTCAGAGGCATATCCAGCACATTCCAAAAAATCGACTCAAAGCAAAGAATCGTGCATCCCTAGCAGTAACGAGAAAAACGCCGGAGTTGGGGTTGGGGTTGGGGGTCGTTGTTTTGAACTTAATACATTCTAAAACGCACAAATTTATTGCACAAAAACTAAATGCTCATGAAATAAAACTATGTCTAAAAATTTTAGTTTTGGGTTCGTCTGTGCTAAACGTGTGTTTTAATGCTGAAGTGTGTTGATAAAACTGTAGATAAAAGACAGGCTTGATGTGGATGCAATGTGGATCGATCTGACCCTTACATTATAAAAAATACGATAAATTTACAACTAAATTTTCAAATTTGTTTGAATAAAGTGTTAGAGGTCTTATTATGTCCATTCAATAAAGATAACTAACTTACCGCGAGCATAAACGTTACTTAATTCCGGACGGTATTTAAGCCACATTGCATTTTCAGTAATTTAATATTGAAGTTTAAACAATGTTTCATTAATCAAATACTATTTTGCAATTTTAAAACCGGAATACCAAATGACATTTTGATAAGTTCTTGTTCTATATAGCCATATTTTTGTATTCTAGCCCCTTAAGAATAAAAATTACAAGTTAGTGAGCCACAATAAATTTATGTGTCCTGGAGTGTAATTCGTTTTAACCTCTACTTCATTCGGGGTTGGACCGCATTTCTCAGCGCTTATAGGCATTGCGTTCATACTAAACATGTCTTATATCACTATCTTTTACTACCACGATATTCAATCAATTATTTTGTGAAATTACTCTAATAGTTTGTTATAATTATTAATACAAAGATCTCACACAAAATAATTCATTCGATCATTCATCATACCGTAGCTGACGCTCTCCCAACTAAGCTACGGAACGAACCAGAAGTTCCTACAAATTTTACTATGTGCTTGTTGGAGATCTTCATTTTTAATTGTAAGTGAAAGGTCTATGAAAATTGTTCTTCATACAAGCAGGTAGATAGATACCTTTTCAGCTACCAATTGCTACATTTGCACTACCTTTGTTAGTAACTATTTCTTTTAATAATAATTCTGTCTTTTTATAGTTCTTATTTGACAAACTTAGGCATGTAACATACCGACGAGGTGATGAAACTCATCGATACATGGGACTCAACCCTAAAGGAATTCTGTTATAAACAGCACCTCACGAATGCCTTAGCTTCAATATTAAAGTCACCTTTAGGTAAGACTTTCCTTTGTGTCACGTAAAATACCGCGTGTTCTGGACAATATGATGGATACTCCCTCTTCTCATTGAACTGAAGTGACTAAGATGTATCACTTTTGTAGAGAAGCTTTATCACGTAAGTGTTGTGATGTTAGAGCCCTGTTTTTCTTTGTGCGGTATACGTAGGCGATAATTTAAAAAAAATCTGCTATATGTCATAAGGACTGAAACTTGTAAATTAATTACTTGTATTATTGCTTACATGATGCAAAATTGAATTAAAAAGAATATTTTTCATAGCAAAATATGATACCACTCAAAAATATTAACACATACACTGTATACCTGTAACGCCTGTAGAAATTGTTTTTAATTGTTTTTATTTTGCATTTTGTTGTGTATTTAACATTAAGCTTGTAGATTTGGTCTTAGATTTTGTAGGCTTTTTCTTCAAGTATTTTCGATTAGTTTCCTAAATTATTTTTATTTTATATCACGTAGGGAGTAGAACGGCTCCCTGTATCACTCTTAAAACACTGTTTAAAAAGTAATTCGTTTAAGCAAATCAGAATCTTTCATGATTATGTATTGTTCTACGAGATATAAACAGCCATCATAATATCAATGTGAATTCTAAAGAAAATGTAAAACCAATTCACATCACGGTAATTACAAAAGTTGATTGATTCTCTAATCATAGATTACATCTGTTTACTTACCTTCCAAAGCCATAAAAATCGCAGCACCCATAACACTGTACATCACTAAGCACAAAGTCAAGAACAAATGCGTGAACCATTTCTTCGACCACGATCTTAATTTATTATACAGCCAAAACGCCGATTTTTCTCCAATACTCAATCCACTTTTTGCTGTCGTCATAGTAAAGTCTTTAACTCCTTCAAATTGTTTAAACATAAAATCTGAAGCCTTGTTCTGATACATGTGCATGAAAGGGTTGAAGTACGGGTTTCCATGGGGATCAGACAAGCGAGACCCCGCAGTTCCTGGAGCTTTTCCGTGAAATCTCATAGGACCTGGACTCCAGTACATTGCAGTCTGAGGTACTTTTGGAGTTTTTGGGGTCGTAGCAATATTTGAATCTGGTATCTGCACAGTGATTTTTGGTCTGCTGAGCCTTTTTGGAGGAGGTGGCGGCGGTGGTCTATTAGGCGGGCTTTCTGGATCCTCCATTTCCTTCTTTTTAAATAATGCCGGTGCAAAAGAATGGTGGTGTCTTTTTCGAAATTATCGAAAAACAAACTCTTGTTGCTAAACTTCTTAATTATGATTAAAAATCTTGCGTAAAAAAATGTTTGAGCGCGTCTCTTGTGTATGCGGCGTCTAACCTCGTTGAAGAATGACAATGTTTTCCACGTTAAATATATACCTACGAATATATATTGGTATACGAGAAAGACGCGTCCGCGAGGTAGTAGTTCGACTGGACACTGATTTTATAAATAAACTCGAAGTTCCCGTTGTGTCATCGCTATCGGATGAAGCACGCAGAGATAATGGCAATTTAGTTTCAATTCCTATAAGCCGAACGAGCGTAATTTCAGGTGAAAATTGCAAAAGTTCGATTCTGGGAAAAATCTTAAGACATAGGGCGTAGTCTAGTGCCCTTGTTAGATTATTTCTCTCATACAGTTTGTATACTCGTAGCTCTAAATCGCCGTAATTTATCATTCTTGTAAGTAGTCTTTATAAGCATTTATTTAGAGTTTTAACTGACTTATGACAGTTCGAACTGACTGATAATTATTATCGTTAACTCTATACTTCGCGCTGATGACCCCAAGATTCCTCTAAAGAGAGGATTGGGTTCATAGTCCACCACGCTTAATAATGCTATTTACGAAATTCATATATCCAAATAATTATAAGAACCATCTTGGACTTGTAGGTTTTATCTCGATATCTTCTTCAACTTTAAAGCAAGTTACTTTAAAGCAAAAATAAATTCTAGAACTAAGGAACTCCTAAAGGTTTTTTTAACTATAGTGAAACAAAAGCTTTATACTGAAAGTTATTATACAGCTTAAAATATATAAGCTATAAGCAAAATTCGTGGTAGTGTTGTCACCTGTTAGCTCTTTCAAGTTAATGTATAATAAAGCAATTTATGATTTGCCAAATTTTATTGAAAACGGTTAACGGACAGTGGTTGAAATCCCGATTATACCCGAATATACCCGATTTATCCCCTAATTTACTACCATTAAAGGTGGAATATTTTCTTCAATTCATATTTAAATGGAACCAAAATCGAGGTACCGTCTTTCCAATACAAAAGAATCATCAAAATCGGTTCACAAATGCCGGAAGGACGGAGTAATCGAGTAACATACACACAAAAAAATGCAGACGAAACCTCCTCCTTTTTTTAAGTCGGTTAAAAATAGTGATAATCATAACATTAATACGAGAAATGTAAAGAACTGGCTGTTCTTGACAGTCTTCTTCACAAAGGCGCATGCTTTTATAATAAAATTCCTGTTGATTTTCAAAATTTGTCATTTACCAACTGCGAAATCATAGTGAAACAAAAACTTAATTCACACATATGTAGCTTCTGCGTACTAGGACAAAAATTCATGGTAGTGAGCCGTTTAGCTCTCGCATGTTGTCTCGATATTTCAAATAAATATTGTAAATTTCAAATTTCCATTAATCAATCTATTTACAATGAGCAACCCAAGTTTCCTTCCAACCAAGTTTCTTACTCACACTTAGTAAGAAACAGGGGAATCTGCATTAGGAATCGAATGAGTGATGAGAATTTAATCAATGCAACAATGTCAAATGTAATTTGCTTGCCTATGTAATCACAAAATTTTTGATTTTTATTTACCTATACACAGCTGCCGAACTGATTTATCGTTTAAGTGTAAATTGAAATGTTAAGCCAAGTGATTGATTGGTTTACATTTCCTTAGAGTAAAGTTTAAAGAAATAGACACTAGTGTGGATGGATAAAGATAAATAACGCAAGTAAATATTTGGACAAGTTAATAAAGAACAGGCAAGTAGTGCTACTGTAGCTAATGTATCGTAGCATTCTGACCTTGTAGAATTTGTAAGGAGCACGTTTCGCTCCTGTTGACTGTGGAAAAGGAAAATCTTTGCCCGGAAAATCCACGGGCGTAGCCGAAATGCTTCGGCTTTGTGAGTAAATACAAAACGTACTAAACCGGAGACGATAACATTATCGCCTGTAACTTATCTGATTTAGGTACTAGAACAAGTAGTTAAGCAACTTAGAATATTAAGTGAAAGGTTCTGTTTTCGCTCCCCATAGAACCAATTTAAGATTTTTTTATTTGTATTGGATCTTTTTTGAAGACTGAGTAAAATGACATTTGTAGGGTTGCCAGTTGTCATAAAATTTTTAATAGTTGTGTAGTTGTTGTCGATAGTTATATCGATAGATAGTGAATGAAGATAGAATTTTGCCAAAAAATGACTGAATTGTGAATGTTACGACGTTCAAATGATTAGTAATTGCGTTATTGCCTTCTGTCTAAGTATAATCTATTTTGACAGTTGACCTACTAGTATCGAGATCAATTTTCATTCATATACATTTTAACAAGTACAACCGGATTAGATTATCTATATTGAATTAAAATGAAAAGCTTTAAAACATGTCTCCTCTTTGTATTTTTCATAAACATAATTCTAAATACTTATATTTAATAATGTATGTATGCATGAATTTACAAAATTTGACAATTCAAATGAACTTGTGAACTGTAATTGGATGATAATGGGTCGAGGATGACACAAATGAAATAGTTCGGGTATTTATTCCATGGGCGTGACGAATATTCGATAGAATATTTATCGACTGAAATCACTAGCTGCTCATAAACGGGTAACACTTACGCAATGAACTGTCATTTTACTCCGTCTTCGAAAAAGACAGATTATATACGTAACATCTTTACACAGGTGACCCCCCTAAAAGTGTGCAATTTTTTTTTAATAAGGACCATTCTTTTTTTAATAAGGACCATTCTCAGAGCGATGCACACGAGTGCAGCCTATGCGTTGCTATGATTTCAACGCACCGAGAGCTACACGAGGAATGCAGTATCGCAACGTTATCCATTTATTTACGCACCGCAACACCCCTCCCTGCTTTGTCTCCTGGACCCTTGTGCGATGCGCACGTATTTTATCGTTGCGTGCCGTTTCGACGCACCCTGTGGCATACAGTTCTGTGGTTCTAATTTATATGTAGTACAACGCAGCGTCACCGCTCAGGTGTCGCAATGCTGACGCAACGCGTCGTATAGCATCGCTCTTATTGCAGCGTCACCATGGTCGAATATTTGAAATTTGATTTGATGTGACAAGCACTTAAAAAAATATATCCAAGATTTGAGAATTCTTGAGTGATCTCACAAGGAGCCACTGCTCCATTTCGAACGGTGGTATTCCTTAAACACTGTTTTTTTTTATTATGAGTACGATTTTTCCCTATGTAAGTATAAATATCAATGAAATTAATTTAATATCGGATTTCTTTTTAACTAAGTAGCGATCAATTCAGTTAAGGTGTAATGAGATCTAGCTAGGTGGTATGATTCTCGAGGTTCAATAATGGTGCCGCTAGAATGAGCTTATTCCGGCGTCGACAGTAAAACTCCTCTGTACTTTTTTAACGGTTGACCGATTAAATCTAGTTTTTTACGACTAGAACCAACCGTAAGATTAATCAAAACTAGACCGTAGTGGCACTGGAATAAGGGACGTGGACCATTTGTGCACTCGCCTAGCGATGTCACCAGCGTTCCGAACATTTCTTCGTTTCGTTTAACCTGAAAATGTTTTCAATTTAAATGAATTATATAAAAAAAATTTGATAACCGACTTCACAACGAGGAGGTTCTCAATTTGACTGTATTATTTTTTTCCGATGAAACCGATTTCGATAACTCTTTTTTTTGTTAAAAACGGGGTATCTCAGTATAATGATCTCATTCAAACTTTAAGAAAATATTCCACCTTTAAAGGTGGCAAATTAGGGGACGAACCCGATTTATTGGATTTCACCAAGTTGTCGTTAACCAATTTCAATAAAACTTGGTTAGTTTTCAAGTTTTCATTATTTCTTTGACAGTGGTCAAGTGGCTTGCACGTTGGTTTTCATGGTGTCGCCAACTCTTTAGAAGCAGTAGAGCTCCTTGTGCAAGAGTTCGTCCAGGGTAGTACTGCACCTTACCTATTTCTGCCGCCAAGCAGTAATGTCAGCATTACTGTGTTCCGGTTTTGAAGGGTAAAGGTGCTGGTGAAATTACAGGCACAAGGAGATTTGTCAACTTATATCCCAGGGTGACAGGCGCAGTGGTAGTGCCCCTGAGATCTTTGCAATTAAAAGCTCTGAGTGACACTGTAACTGTTGTGGACAGGCGTGTAGCTTACCATCAGGCTTATCCTTCCCATCGCTTGATTTTATAAAAAAAAAACTCTTAGGTCCCGCGTTCGATCCCCGGCCAGGTCAATGTAGAAAACTGACTTTTCTACATAGTCTCGGGTCTGGGTGTCTATAGAACCGTCGTTGTTTCCGATTTCCATAATACAAGTCCTTTAGCTACTTATTTATACTCTTTTTAATTTTCAAGTTTTTATTGAATGTCACGAAGTTTTACTACCAGTAGATTCAATTAATTTTTGTGAAATTGCTCCACTAGTTTGTTATAATTATATTATTAATAACAAAGATCGAACACTTAGAAAAAGTTCCTTCTATCCGGCCGGATTCGAACCGACGTCTTCTAGCAAACCGGGCCAGACGCTATGCCAACTAAGCAGCGAATCAAACCAGCGAACCTTACAAATCTTTCAATGTGCTTGTTGTAGATCTGTGTCTTTGGTTTTTAACGTATTTTTGTTAGTATTAACGCCACCTTTGAAAAATTATTTATATATTTATGAAGCCACGCGAGACACGTCATAAGTGATTTATCACATGAAATTCATAAAAATAATACTAACTTCGTGAAACAAATCGAGTTCTTAAGTTTTCGCGATTGTTACACATGGGGAATGAAACAATTTTTCGGGTTTAAATCGCGTACATTTGTTTTTTCAAACAAGCCAACATTTCAGGCGCTTTATCCCTTGGTCACGGGCGACAATCAGTGTTTGTTTGTTCAGTCAGAGCCCGAATTGTTGGTTTGTTC